GAGCCTCATGGGACACCAAGTCAAAGGCCTTCCTAAAGTCCAAGTAAATGATGTTGACCTCACCTCCCTTATCCAGGTGGTAAGTAGCTTGGCTGTAGAAGGAGATGAGGTTAGTTAGACATGACCTACCTACGACAAAGCTGTGCTGGCTGTCATTCAGAATTTTGCCTTCTACAAGCTTATCACATATGGACTCCTTGAGAAATATTTTGAGGATTTTTCCTGGGATTGAGGTCAGGCTGATCGGCTCGTAGTTCCCTGGGTCTGCTCTCCTCCCCTTTTTGAAGATGGGCACAACACTGGCCCACTTTCAGTCTTCTGGGACCTCTTCTGAGTGCCATGAATTCTCAAAGAGGTTCTCCAGCAGTCTTACAATTACTTTGGCTAATTTGTTTAGCACTCTTAGATGGAGTTCATGTGGTCCTGCTGACTTATAGCTATCCAGCCTCTCTAGCTATTCTTTCACCAGCTCTACATTGACTGTTGGTAGGTGATCATCCCTACTGTGACTATTCTGTGTTTTATTTGCATTTGGCAGGCTATCACTCTTAGACTGGTGGAGTACAGATGCAAAGTATTCATTCAGGAGTTCAGTTTTCTCTTTGCTGTCGGTAATCATAAGTCTAGATGCATTGAGCAGTGGTCCCACGTTCCCACTGGTTTTCCTCCCATTACTTACGTACCTATAGAAGGACTTCTAGGAGGACTTCTAGAAGGACTTCTTATTGTCCTTGATTTTGGTTGCTAACCTGAATTCAGTCACCGCCTTTGCTTTTCTAATCTGCCCCCTACAGGTGTAGTTCTTATGTAGTTCTCCTTGTGGCCTCTTCCTAGCTTCAATCATTGGTAAGCCTCCCTTTTCTTTTTCAGAAGATCTGTGATTTCCCTATTGAGCCAAGATGGCCTCCCGGCCCCTGTGCCACCTTTGTTGTGTACAGGTATTGACAACTTCTGTGCACCAAGGATTGTGTCCTTGAGGAACAACCACTCTTCATCCACACTCTATCCCTGTGGTCCAGATCCCATAGGCCATTATTCATTAAAGCCCTTAGCTTATTGAAGTCAGCTTTTTAAAAGTCAGGAATTTGTACTTTGCTGACAGATTTCCCAGCCCTACGATGGACAGTGAAAATGATAGCATCGTGGTCACTGTCGCCTAACTTACCCTGTATCATCAGATCACTCACCAGGTCATCCCTTTTGGTCAAAACTAAATCTAGGAGTTCATTTCCTTTGGTCAGCCCATATACTTCCTGAGACAGGTAGAGCTCATCGATACAAGTCAGGAATCTATGCGACTGGTCAGATCTGGCCAAGTGTTCTTCCCAGGAGATGTCTGGGTAGTTAAATTCGCCCATGATGACCATATCCCTTGCTCTCTCAGCCTCTTCCAGTTCTCTGGAGAATTCTAGATCTAGCTTCTCATCTTGATTTGGAGGTCTGTAATATATTCCTACAGTTAGATCCTTTTCACCACGTCCCCTCCATATGTTGACCCAGAGGCTCTCAAGTTGCCCTTCCTTAGTACAATTTCAGCTTCCAAGGAGGTGTACTGCTCCTTTACATATAGAGCTACACCTCCACCCTTTTTCCCTATGTGATCCCTCCTGTGCAGGGTGTAGCCCTCTATCACTACAGTCCAGTCGTGGGTAGAGTCCCACCAGGTCTCTGTTATCCCTATGATATTGTAGTCCCTACTGGAAAGGAGGGCCATTTCTTCTGTTTGTTCCCCATGCTCCTGGCATTCGTGTACAAGCATTTGAGCCCTCCTTGGTTTCTTGTCACATTGCGGGAGGTCCATTCCCCCAGCTCGTGCTGTAGTGTCCTCTCCTGTTGTAATGGTTGTTTGTTTGTTGGCCCCTGGGCTTGCTCCACTTTTTGTACCCCCATCCCCAGGTGATCTCATTTTAAAGCCCTGTCCAGGAGGTCTGCCATCCTGGCCAAGAAAAGAGCCTTCCCCTTGGGCATGAGGTGGATACTGTCCCTTCCCAGAAGACCTCTGTCTCTGAAGTGCTTGCTGTGGTCAAGAAAGTCAAAACCCTCTTGGTAACACCATTGCCAGAGCCTTTGGTTCACCTTTTTGATACACCCGTCTGTCTTAGGCCTGCGGCCCACAACTGGGTGGACAGAGGAGAAAACTACCTGTGCCCCCAACCTCTTAAACCCAGAGCCCTGTAGTCACTCATGACCTGGCCAGGATTGCTTTGAGCCATGTCATTCGTGCCCATGTGGATGAGGAGCATGGGGTAGTGGTCAGAAGCCTGGATGAGTTTAGTAATCCTCTCTGGCACGTCCCAGATATGGGCCCCTGGGAGGTAGCAGACCTCATGGGCCAAGGTGTCAGGGCAGCAGATCGCTCCCTCTGTCCCTCTCAGGAGGGAGTCGCCCACCATGACCACCCTGTGTCTCTTCTTAGGGGTGGCAGCTAGCTGTTTCACTGGGTTCTGCTCAGCCAGTCTGACAAAGATCAGCCATGTTTGCCCTCCCTGGTTTGCTCAGCATCCCTGAGCTTGCCCATGGCATGAGGGAGAGAGGCTCTAAGGTTTGAGCCTTCTAGGAGAATGAGCACTAGGGTCAAGGTGTTGGGGTCAAGAGCCTGCTCTGTGCCCCAGCTGCACAGGAGGCTCCCTTCTACATCCCTGTACAGTGGACAGTCCCAGGGCTTTCCCCAGAGGAGTGGTCCCAGAGATCTAGATAGGCTACTCTCCCAGTGACACAGAAACTAGCATGACCCTCATGACCCTATGGTCATGAGGATCATGCTAGTTTCTGTGTCACTGGCCTTTCCCCTGTCCAGGGAGCTGCAGTCTTTGTCTGGGGACATTGAAGGCCACAGCTCAGAGAAGCCCACATGACTGGGTTCAGTGATCAAGAGCTTCCCAGTTGTTACACAAACAGCCAGGCCCCTACTCTGACCTCATGCCTGCCCTGAGTCATATACTGCAGCACTCTTTATAGAGAACAGGCTGAGGCAGACTAGAGAATATCAGATAGGAAGTCCCCCAGCCACTGAAGCCTTGGAGCTGCCAAACGGCTAATGGTGCACAGCCCTTGGGAGCCCACAAGTCACATCAGTACTCGGCCTGTGGCCAGTGCAGGTGCAGTGGGTTGGAACTGCCTTGTGAGCAAGAAGGGAAAGCAGAAAGCCTCTCCCTTCTAGCCACCTTCTATTCTTTGCACTCCAAGCCTGCTCAGTAGAGCTTACAGCATTTACAAGGTTTGGGATGCTGTATGTTATATTACTCATTCTGTTCTGGGTGGGAGCCAGAGCTACCTGCATGGTTAACAGTTGAGAAATCCCTAGGTGAATCAAACCTGGGAGAGGACAGCAGGCAGTAGGGTTCAGAGAACTGAACGCTGATTACACTAATCTTTGGGGCATAGCATTCACACCTGAGGACAGGCTAGCGATCCAGGCTGACTTGGATAAGCTTAGTAAGTGGTTGGATACAAACCTGATGACATTCAATACCGATAAATGCAAGGTACTCCAGCTCAGGGAAAAAAAAAACCTGTGGCATACTTATAGGCTCATCAGTGCTATGCTTGCTAGCACCACAGCTGAAAGAGACTTGGGGGCCATGATTGACCACAAGATGAACATGAGCCACCAATGTGATGTTGCAGCTGGCAAAGCAAACAAAACCGTGGCTTGCATCCATAGATGCTTCTCAAGTAATTCTCAGGATGTTATCCTCCCACTGTACTTGGCCTTGGTAAGGCCACAGCTGGAGTACTGCATCCAATTCTGGGCTCCACAATTCAAGGATGTTGAGAAGCTTGAGCGCCCAGAGGAGAGCCATGCGCATGATCAGAGGACAAGAAAATAGGCTTTATGAAGAGAGGCTGAGAGCCACGGGACTCTGCAGCCTGGAAAAGCGCAGGCTCGGGGGGACCTGGTGGCTGCTTATAAGTATATAAGGGATGTTCATCAGGATCTGGGAGAACATCTGTTCACCAGAGCACCCCAAGGAAAAACAAGGACCAATGATCATAAACTCCCCCAAGACCATTTTAGGCTGGACATAAGGAAACATTTCTTTACTGTCCAAGCCCCCAAGACCTGGAATAGGCTCCCTCCAGAAGTGGTGCAGGCACCTACTCTGGGCTCATTCAAGAAACATTTGGATGCTTATCTTGCTGAGATCCTTTGACCCCAGCTGACTTCCTGCCCCTGTGGCAAGGGGCTGGATTTAATGATCTTCAGGGTCCCTTCCAGCCCTAATGTCTATGAAATCTATGAAACTGGGCAAATATTCTGGGGTTAATGCATGCATGGTTCAATGTCTCTGATGTCATTGGCAGGGTGGCAGGGCCATAGGACATGGATGTCCCAAGGGAGTGGAGTGGGCATGCAGCTCTAATACTGTTGAGCAGGCTGGCAGCAGGAGACAAGGAGTGAGGCCTGCATGGTCACAGGGGCAGAATGACTGCCTGGTACGTAGTTGAGAGATTGGGGATTGGAATGTGGTGCAGGAGCAGGTATCTGGGGAAGGAATGGAATTTGGGCTAAAGTGAGCTGCAACAGCTGAAAGGGTACAGCCACAAGCGGGTGAGGGTATCAGGGCCCTGCTAGATTGAGAGAAGCACAGCTTTGAAGAGGCAGGAAAAGGCATAATTGTAGCTGACTCCAAGCGTGGCCCACAGTTATGGGATTTGTAATATGGGTTTGACATCCTTGGGGGAGGGCTTGGTGCTGCTGAGACTTTCCCTTGCCAAGGCCAAGGCACAAGCCCAGAAGATCTTTGAAAGTGGTACCCTGGGTGGGTCTGTGCCTGCCTGGCAACTGTGTGCAGGCCCAACTGAGTTGTGCCCACCTTGGCTTCTGTTGCAGGTGCTGTGAGTGTGGGGTCTCACTATCCCGCCAGTACTATGAGAAGGATGGGCGTCTCTACTGCAAGAAAGACTATTGGGCCCGGTTTGGGGAGCTGTGCCATGGCTGCTCAGAGCAGATCACAAAGGGGCTTGTTATGGTAAGTGCTGCCCACCTCAGCTGCCTCCTGGGAGTCGGAGCTGGCTCTGGCTCTGGTTTTGGTTCTCAGTATACCTGCATGAAAGGAACAGTCAGAACTCTGTGCATCCAGTCCAAACCAGGTGCACTGGCCCCTTAAATCAAGAGATCAGCCATCTGCTTCCCTGCCACTGGGGCAACTAGTTTAGGGGGTTGGGTTATTTAGTCAGAAGGGGAGCAGGGAGTGGGCCCAGGAGATTCCTAGACCTCCTTGTGGTCATTTGGTGAAGCATAGCAGGATTTCCCCAACTCCTTTACAGAAGAGGCCTGAGACCCAACCGTAACCTCGTGCTGAAAGTGTGGGCGTTGGTGTCATTTAGAAATGAGGTCACTGGAGAGGGGAAGTTTCCAGCAGTCTATGGGTCTGTCTCATACACAGCACTGGCTAGTTGCAGTCAGACAGCACCATGGTGGGGGAAGCCAGGCTTCTGTACCAGGAGGGGAGCTGGTTTTGCAGTCTGATACAGGTAAGTATAAGTGGGGGAGTTGTGACCATGGGATGGCACGGGAGGGTTGGGGGAGGAAGAACACTGCTCTGTCTAGTCTATCAGAGCTGAGGCTCCTGGACTGACAGACCTAAGCTGTCTTGGTGATCACCAGGAATCTTAGTTTTTTTCTATTTAAAAATCCCAAATTCTCTGATTTAAAAAAACCCAAAATGTGCATTTTCCTCAATTTAAATGAAATGCCACTATATATATATATAGATATAGATCTATCTATATCTATATATATATATATAGCTATATCTATCTATATCTATATATAGCTATATAGGTATCAGTGGAACACAGTTTTTCATTGACATATTTACAATTTTAAAATGTCTCAATGATTATAGTGTCTCAATCATTATAATGAAATAATTTCTAAATACGTATATATTTTGGCATTTGATTTTGGATTTTTTTACCAGAGAAAATCAGAGCTCTCCTTGCCCCCTTCACTCACCAGGACATGGGTCCAGCTGCAGCTAACCCCATGCCTTGTGGTGCTGAGCAGCCCTGATATACTGGTGCCCCTCAGTCCCAAGCCAAAGCCCCCCATCCCCACCAGTGCCCCTCACTCCCAACTCTGTCCCCTGGCCCTGCTGGTGCTCCTCACTTCTGACCCACAGCCGCCTACCCCTTCCAGCTGCTGGTGCTTCTTACTCCCAACTCACTACCGCCTGCCCCACAGCCTTCCAGTGTGTGGGGAAGGGGCCCTGTATGGGGCAGCGGAAGTGCCCAGCCATAGGCAATGCCATAGGCAATATATTGGGCGGGGGATGTGCTCCCCCTCCCAGATTAGTGAGCCTACAGCAGGGCATGGGGGTGCAGCTTGGCTGGATTGGCACTGGCAGGAGGTGCCTCTGCAGCCCAGCAGGTGGCACCTGGCATGGGAGGGCAGAGCAGGGCAGTGAGACTTCCTGCTGCAACCACCACCACCAGGACCCCTGTGCCAGCTGTGCTGTCAGGAGCATGAGGAGTAATGGATGGGGGTGCAGGAGCCATGCTGCCCTCACCTTTGCCCATTGCCAGAAATTTGCATGCTGGGCTACAGCTCTACCCTGGAGGGGAGATGGGGTAGGGGTCAGCATGGGCAACCTGAAGAGAGTGGCAGCAGTGACACAGTGGGTAGAGCCGTGGCCCTGCATGTGAGCAGCTAGTGGCAGAAGGAGGGGGTAGTGTGCCCCTCCACCCCCAGTCCCTTATTCCCCATGCTGCTGGCAGTGTGGCTGGTGCAGCAGTTCCAGCAGCAGTGGCAGCAGCAATGAGTCTTACTGTCCTGCTCCACCCTCTTGCTCCAGGTCCCACCCACTAGGTTGCGGAGGTGACTTCTTCCTATGTCGGTCCAACCAAGTGCCCTGCTGCAGGTGCACAAGTCTGTGGGGGGGCACATGCCTCCGCCACCTTCCCCTCTCCCGCCTGTCCAATATGGAGCCCAATTCCTGCGCAGCAGTGCGTGCAGCAATGGGGAGCCATCCCCTCTGCCAGCCCTTCCATACCCCAGCGAGCTGCCCATGGCTCCATCCTGCTCCCTGACTGGGCCCCGCAGCCGCTCATTTCTGCTCTGGCCCCAGGCACTGAACACCACTGTGGCTGGGCAGCTCCCCCAGCCCCAGCCATCAATCCCGCCCCACTCCCTCCCTCTCTCACTGTGGGAGCTTGGCATGAGCTGCCACTGCCTCAGTCTGACCTCTCCCCCACCCCCTTTGTGTTGCCTATGTCCCCCCTTCCCCCCATGTGTCACCTATGCTCAACCCCACCATGGAATTACCTGCAGGCAGCTGGATGAGCTGCTCTCCACCACGCTGCCAGACTTGCTGGCGACTTGCACGTATGCACATGCACGTGGTGCCCCCTGGCCTGATCAGCCTCCTCCTGTTCCCCCAATCGCGAGCAGCCCCTTGCAGGCTGGAACTCTGCCAGCCTGCAAGGGGAAATCTGAAATTACCTGCATCTTTTTCCTTTAAAGGAGAAAGTCTGGTTTTTCTGTGTTTTTACTAGGCCTCTGTGCTGAGGCAATGCTGCTGCATTCAGGCCATCCTTTTTCACTCCTCCTTTCCCCTGCTCCCATGGAACTGGAGGGGCATGAGAGCATGACAGTTCAGGCTGCCCCTGCCCGTGACTCGCTTTCCCCATCTCATTCAGCCTGGACAGTATAAAGTGGCCGGTTTCTTTCATTGTTATTTGTATAGGGAGGTCAACAGGGAATGATTCTTGTGGTATGAGACTGGTGTGCTCTTCAATCAGTACCATATGGGGCCCTGTTCAGTCTTAGCCAGGCACTACCAGGGGAGTCCTGCACCTTGCAGAAATGACAATACCCTGAAAACACTGGGGTGGGTTTTTACCACTTTTCCTAGAAGATGCTCGCTGCTGGCCCTGTACAGAGACTGTGCCTGGGTCTTACTCCTGCTGGGCTCATTCTCTATCTAGTCTTTTTCCAAATGTTGGAACTTCAGCGCAGACAAGCCAAGGTGGCTCAGATCCTGTGACCAACCTTCAGCTGCCCTAGAAAAACCAGGCCCTTCCCAGACAGTCTGCCCCTGGGAGAGCTGCATGTCAGAGGTCAGTGCTACCCTGCCTTCCAGGGAGCCCTCTGCCCGTAAATGCCTTGCCAATAATTTCATGCCTTGCCTGTTGCTGTACTTCCCCATCCCTCTTCTCTAAGTGAGACGCTTCTTTCAAATGCTCTTATTGCCACATCTGAAAGAGAGCAGGCTGGGAAGTCTGGGCTGTGCACTGTGACTGTGTACAAGATAAACAGCAGTTTCCCCTTGTTTACAAACAATGGAGGAAGGAGCATTTTGCTGCCCAGTCTTGCAACTGCAGAGCCCCTGCTTCTTCAGGAGAAACCCAGGAGGTCCCAACCAGGCTATTCCTGCAGGGTGAGTCCCAGGATGTGTCTAAGCACAAACACAGGAATCCTCCCCCTGCCCCTTCTCCTCCACTGGAGGTGATAAGCTCCACCAGCTTGTCTCAGCCCTCAGACATTTTCCTCAACTATCTTTTGTCTTGTGACTCCTAATTAATTCTTTGCCAGACCTACTCTTTGTAATTCACTTTCTGGGAGGGGGTTTAACTCTTGAAGCACATGTGGGCATATCTGTGCCTTATCCCAGCCATCCTACAGCCAAAACAGATGCATTTGGCACCTGGGACCCTCCCTCCTCACTCTCTCTGACCTCCAAAGCCTGCTGGGGCTTTTCTCTTGGATGGAGGGGCCTAGATCTGAGCTGATCATCCTTGCTCAATCTCCCTTAGCAGACAGAGGGGTTCTGTTCCCACTCACCTGAGGGTGTGAGGCCAGTACCATGCTGGCTGCCACATTGCTCCCATCTCCCCTCAGGCCCATTACAGCATCCCTACATCTCAGCCTCTCCCTCCCTCTCCCTTCCTGTCTGGCATTCTAGTGCCCAGTCCATTTCCAGCAAGAGGAAACCTCTAAGTAGCAAACGACTTAGGGGAAGCCTGGGTTCAGAACCTGACTGAGGGGAAGCCCGGATGCAGTGCCCATCTCAGGGAGAGTCCCTCCAGGGCAAATGTGGCACCTCTGTTACCTGTGTTTCAAAAGCACTTGGCCTTGTGGCAGTTCGCAAGTGCTGGGGCACTGCACTTCCTCCACCATGTTTCCTCTAGTTTTCAATTATATTGAACTGGCTTTGTCCCTGCCTTGGAGACCTACTAAACCAGACAAGCTTCTAGGGGCTGAGTTAATTTCTGTGCAGGTGCCAAGGAGCCATGTGGCACTGCTGATTGGTGCCCATTGTACATGGCAGGGCTCTAGGGCCACGGGCATAGGCAGAGGCTCTTGGGTGAATAAATGGGCTCTAATGCCAATAACATTGGGCCAAGATCATACGCAATGCATACGGGAGGTACGGGGGCCTTGTGTTCCCCCTGAGATTGGCTACTGTCGATGCTGCTTCCGCCGCTCACCACCTCCCCCCACCTCACCGCCGACACCATCTGTGGGCGGTCCCTGCTCAGCCCGTCCTCACCGCCAATGTCACTGCAGCTGCCTGCAGACAGTCCCCTCACGGCTCGCCTCACTGTCAATGTTACTGTGGCCACCTGCGGGCAGTCCCTGCTTGCCGCTGACACCACTGCCGCTACCTGTGGGCAGTCGCCATGCCCACCCAGCCTCAGGAGGCATGAGTCGTTCATGGCCAAGATCATGCTCATGGGGTTCCTACCAGGAAACAGCATTTTCTTTCCAGCAAGGGCTCCTGCTTCCGCAGCCCCACCCCCAGCCTTGTCCAGCTGCCTTTTGGTGTCCTCTGGCTGGTAGACTGCCCCTGTTCCCCTTCCCAAGTCACAGTGCCTACACGGGCTCTTGCCAGCTACTCGTGTGCCTCCAGGCTGGGGCAGGATTTTCTGATCACTCGGCCTCGTGCTGATCCTGACCCTCTGGTGCTGGGTGGTGCTTTCTCATTGGAGCACCCGGGTCTCACTGCCTCTCCTTTGCAGGTGGCTGGGGAGCAAAAGTACCACCCAGAATGCTTCAGTTGCCTCAACTGCCGGGCCTTCATTGGGGATGGTGATACCTATGCACTCGTAGAGCGCTCCAAACTGTACTGGTATGTGAGAGCCTCTCCACTTGGCATGGCCACCTTGGGCCAGGTCCTGTATGAGACCTGGAAGTGGGAATACAGGTTAGCAGCCAGGACTCCAGGGTCAACAGTGCAAGCTGGCCAGTGGGTGGATCCATCCTGGTAGGGTGTACTTAGCCATGCTGTGTTCCCACGCTGTGAAGGGCCACCCTGCCTTCAGTTCCCTGGGTTCCAGCAAACCCCCCAGCGATACAGTTTGGAGTAGTACTCAGTGCAGCCTGATAGCACTCCTTGGCCCATGACAGCAACAGGACTGAGGCCCCTGCAGCCCCCCATGTCACCTGGTAATGGGGCTCTCAGCCTGTGTGTCTCAGATCTCCCATCTGCTAATGGCTCTTGGTACATTCCCAGACAGCAAAGTGTAGTTTCCAAGAGCATAGCGGGGTGCCTGCTCCCCACCCCACCCCACCCCCCACCTGCCCTAGGAAGGACCCATGCCCCTGTGGGCCAGCCAGGGCTCTGGTTGGCCTGGGGCTAGCTATGAAGTAAATGGAGAACAAATTCCTTATAGCTTCTTTCTCCCCTGTGTCTCCGTCTTACTTCCCCCTGCCTCTCCCTGCTCTCTTGCTGTCCCTTTCTCCTTCTGCCCATCCCTCACTCCCATTACTTCTCTGATGCCTCCCTCCAAGTGGACACTGTTATTACCAGATGGTGGTTACCCCAGTTATTGAGCAGATCCTGCCAGAGTCGCCAGGCTCCCGGATCCCACATACCGTCACACTGGTGTCCATCCCTGCCTGCACTGATGGGAAACGAGGCTTCTCTGTGTCCATTGACCAGCACTGCAACTCCCAGGGCTGTGGCACGGAGCACTCACACACTGTCCGGGTCCGAGAGTACGTACCTGTGGTGGGTGTGGCTGGGGGAGGGCAGTTCCCAGGGGTAGTGGGCACTGACCTGCCCTGGCTACAGTGGGAGGCCCTCTGTACTTGGGGATCGTGCTAACCTGAGCCCAGCTCTGCAGCACTGGGGGGTGGACCTCCTGCCTCTGCACAAAGCTTGGTCTCTTATGAGCAACAGTGAGCTCCCTGTCATGGGGACTTCATGTGATGGACCCATTTCCTGAAGAGTCACAGGCCAATTGAGAACCCTGAGGAATCCCCCCTCACTCCTGAGAACAAAGAGGAATCTGTCTGCTGCTGAGAGGCTTGAGGACTGTTGGTGTGAGGGGGGGTGGCCCCAGGCTCTCTGGAGGGAGTGGCCCCAGCATCCTCTCCATGCTGCTTGGCTAACAGGGTTTTTGATTACTGAACCTACTGCCTGGGGGCAGCCTGAGCCCTTAGGACACCTTATTCAGATATCAGGGCAGGTGAGGGGGCACTGCTGGGCACGGCCCAAGCCTCTGTTATTTAGGTGGGTGGTGGGACAGGGCACTGGGCTGCTGCTTCCTCAGTGGGGGCTGTTTGGTGGGGACACTGGAGAACCTTGTGGTGAAGCTGTGTGAATCAGTGTTACTCGTGCATGGGGCCAGCAGGTTCTAACAACCCCATATGTCCTCTGCACCCAGAGTGGATCCCGACTGCATCAGCCCTGACATGAAGAACTCCATCCACATTGGGGACCGGATCCTGGAGATTAATGGCACCCCCATCCGGCATGTTCCACTGGATGAGGTACTTGAGCCCCCCCACAACCAGCTGCCCCCCACCCTGTGCAACCAGGGCAGGGCACAGCTACAGGGTTCTGGGGTGGATGCTGCTGCTTGATGATGTAAGCCTGTCTCCTTTGTGCCTTGCAGATAGACTTGCTGATCCAGGAAACCAGCCGTCTCCTCCAGCTGACCATAGAACATGACCCCCATGAAGCCATAGCCCGAGAGTCTGTGCTGGAAAGCAGCTCCCTCTCTGACCTGCACAGCCCCCTGCGCTCTCCTGCCCACACACCCTGTGGGGAGGCCAGTGCCGTGTGCCACAGGACAGTCATGTAAGGACAGAGTTCACTAGCATCCCCCACATCCACACCTGCTGAAGAGGAGGGGAGGGGTGAAGTAGGGGTGAGAGCCTGTGTTGGGAAGGGGGTCCCTCCCCAGGCTGAGGACTCTCAGTGATGCATGGTGCTCTGCCCTGCTGACTTTTCCTGCATTCACATGGCAGGAGGAGCTGCAGCATCGACAAATCCCCATGCTCTAGCTCCATGGGCTCCCCTGCTTCCCAGCGCAAGGATATCAGCCGTTCTGAGTCGCTGCGCATCGTCTCCCGTACCCATCGCATTTTCCGGCCCTCAGACCTGATCCATGGCGAGGTGCTGGGGAAGGGCTGCTTCGGACAGGCTATCAAGGTATTGCCATGCCCTGCACAGTCCTTCACAGTCATCTCCATGCCCAGGAAGTCCACAGTTCTGGGGAAGGATCTTATGCCTCCATGAGCCAGCAGACACGTTAGTCCCCTTCCTATCTCTCTCACATGGGGCAGGAACTTCACTCCTCAGAGACACCTCCCCTCCCTGCACCAGCTGACCCCAAGAAGGCAGGGATGATCCCCCTCAGGCCCCTTCAAAGCCTGTTCTACCCTAGGACTGACCAAGGCCCTGGCTTCTCACTACAGATCCATCTGCCCTGCAAACTTTAACATCCCAAGTATAATGGTTGCTTCCATCTCACTGAGGGTGGGATCTGCCAGGTACTGCCCTGCCCAGCTTGTGCTACACAGAGCATCAGGTCGGACTTGCTCTGAAGCTTAGAGGAGCTCAAGGCAGCAAGGAGCCTTTTGTGTGTGGCTGCCACCCCAACTCCTGCCCCCTCCCCCAGGTGACACACCGGGAGACAGGAGAGGTGATGGTCATGAAGGAGCTGATCCGCTTTGATGAGGAAACTCAGAGGGCATTCCTCAAGGAGGTAAGTTGGCTCTGCTCACTGTCACTGTGATGGCTGCACTGGGGAGTTGTAGGGCCCTGGTCTGCCTCTAGCCACTCCTGCCCAAGGCCTTCCCTTATCTCTATGTCTGCCCAAACACCATGTTATCCCTGTCACTGATCCTGGCCCAGCACAGATGCTGCCCCTCACTTCAACAAGGGGCCCCAGCCTCGTGGGAGCTGGGCAGGCTTTTCCTAGCATGTGGATGCAGCTCTGGGTTCCTGGCAGTATTGCAGTGAGATATGCAGGGTCTGGTTCTCAGCAGGGCAGGGCACTGGTGTGCTATTCACTGACAACCCCATTTCAGTTACAAACAGGGAGTCAGCACTACTGTGGCTCTAGGGGCTCTACAGAGATTGGTTCATGGCCCAAGGGAAGGAACATTTTTTGCAGTGCCCTGGAAAGAGACAAAATCTTTGCTGGTTAAGTTGGCAGATAATCCAGGGCAAGGAGAAATGGAAATGTTGGAGGGTACAGGGCAGAGTGATCCAGATCACTTGGTTAGCTGGGAGCAGACGCACAGTATATGCTACCCTTTGATCAAGTGTACGGGTCTCCATCTGGGAACAGAGATTACAGGCCACACTCACAGGAGGAGCGTCTGTCTTGGGAGGCTATGACTGAAGAAAGCTGAGGGGTTCTGGTGGATAATCAGCTGTACACAAGCTCCTATTGCACTGCTGTGGCCAAAAGGCCTGGTGCAAGCCTTGGGTGAATATACAAAGAGGACACTGGGTAGGAGCAGAGAGGTGCTGTTACCTCTGTGTGGTTACTGGTGGAACTATGACTCCAATACCATGTCCAGTACATGTGCCCAGAATTTCAGAATGTGGATAAACTGGAGTCAAGACGAGGGTCTGAAGGGTTGGAAGCCATGTTGTGGAAGATTCTCAGAGCTCAACATCTTTTGCTTCTCAGAGAAGGCTAAGGAGGGACTTCATCCTTGTCTCTAAGTGGAATCTGATGATCAAGGTCTTTTAAGTCCAGTGGACAAAGGTATAGCACAGAGGTGAGCAAAATATGGCATGTGGGCTGCATCCAACCCACCGGGCCATTTTATATAGCCCTCAGAGCCCCTAAAAAGATTTAGAAAATTAATATTTATCTGCCTCTGGCTGCCTGTCAAAGATGACAGGAGCCAGGGGCAGTAGGACCCAGGGGGAGCCACGGCAGAACCCTGCCCAGCCCCACCTCTGCCCTTGCCCTCCCCCCCAGCTGAAAGCCCTTGCCTAGCAGAGGCTTCTGGCCTGGGACTGTGGGGCTGTTGGTGCCTCCCTGCATCAGAGCAGGAAATTCAGGTAAGGGGGGAAGGGGAGGGGAGGTGAAGCAGGTGAGGACTGTGGGTGATTGCCCCAGTCCTCAGGGCTGGGCTGGCTCCTGCTGAGTCCAGCGGTCTGGCCATGCAGCCAGGAGCCAAGTGGTGCACAGCAGCCCATGGGCAGGAAGGCAAGTAAGGAAAGCGGCAGTGGGAGTTGAGGGGGAAGTAGAAGTGAGCAGGTTTGTGGGAGCACGGGGCCCATGCCAATGTCCCAGGGCCAATGCTGGAGGGACCCAGAGTGGGGCGGCAGGAGCGTGGGGCGTGAGCTGGCAGGGGTCTGTGGATCTGGGCTGGGCTGTACTAGAAGGGAGAGAAGGGAGCTGGTCCAGCTCCATAGAGCCCCTGCCAGCTGGGACCCCGCACTCCTGCCGCCCCAGTCTGGACCCTGCCAGCACTGGCCCTGGGACACCAGCATGGGCCTTGCACTCCTTGCCAGCTGTTGCTGGCTCCCGTGTGCAGTCGCTTCCAAATCCCCCCCCACTGACCCCATGCCCTGAACCTGTGTGGCCTGCGCTCCCCCATCTGGGCTGAGCAGCAGCAGCGTGGGACAAACTGCTGCTCAGCATGGGGAGGAAAGCGGCCCCTCCCTCAGCCAGTGCTTGCTGATGCAGCTGCTTGGAGCCCATGTGGTGCTGTCCTGCATCTCCACGCAGGCTCTGAGCAGCTGCACCAGGAAGTACTGGCAGCAGGAGAAGGAGGGGCCGCTTTTACCCCACGTTGAGCAACAGTTTGTCCCACACTGCCACCGCTGCTCAACCTGGGCCCCAGTAATGGCTTTGGGCTCACCCATCAGGGCTGAGCAGCGGCAGCAGTGCAGGGAAAAGTGGTCCCTTTCCCTCGCCACCATCAGGCTGTTTTTGCTTCAGCCACCCAGACCGCCACCAGGGAACTCCCCTGTGGCTCCTCCTCACTGTCTCTGATCTCACACTGGGCATCCCAGAGTCAGCAGTGAAGGAGCTGCAGGGCAGACCAGCGTGGTACAGGTTCCAGGTGGCCACAGCAAAAGCTGCCCAGTGGCGGCAAGGGGGTGGGGCCACTTTCCCCCAAGTCGAGCATAAGTTTCTGCCCAGCTGCTGCTGCTCAGCCTCAATGAGCAAGCCCAGAGCTGGCGCGGGCTGCGCAGGTTCACGGCTGCACACGCTGGTCCCTGCCACTACCGCTGCATGCCCAGGGGTGACAGGAGATGCCATAGCCAGGCAGTGCAGAGTGGGCATGGGGCGTACTGGGGCTCTGTGCTGCTGGTGGTGGCAGGGAGGTGCTGCAGGGGACTTGGGTTCTGGGCTGTTGCAGAGTGGGGGTGGGTGCTGACTGGCTTAAGGGGGTGCACTCAGGGGCTCCTGTGCACACCCTACATACCCTCAAACCCTTCCCACAGCCACACCCAACCCCACACACAATCACACACCCCATAAATACCATATCCCCCCCTCACACATCCCCACAAACCCCACACCCACC